CATACTTTATGAAATCATAATTGAATCATAGAAAATCATGAAGGAGTCACCCAAACGTCCAACAACTTTTCTAATTCAATTCACAAGATTCTCAAAACCATTGCTCACACATATTCTAAAACTAAGGCTAGAGTGACACAGTTAAGCCAAGCCTACATCTCTGAAGTTGATATCAAATATAAGAAACCAACAAGTCAAGTGATGCAACTTTGGACCACTTAAACGAATTCAAACCAGGAAACGATTCCGGACCATCACTCAACGGAATCGTGAAGTAGAAAGGATTCTGGACCATCACTCAACGGAATCCAAACAAGGATACGATTCCGGACCATCACTCAACGGAATCGCGGAGTAGAAAGGATTCCGGACCATCACTCAACGGAATCCAAACAAGGATACGATTCCGGACCATCACTCAACGGAATCACTTGCACTATCAACTTCTCATGACCACTAACTATCTTATCATACAAGCATAAAAGTTATACGTAATACTTCTCATAAGATTCTGGGTTCACATCATCCTAAAAAAAATCATACAAATCATACTGATTATACATATCTAACCACATTTCATAAATGTTTCCAAGCTACAGTCGAATCACAATTAATAAACATAGATCGATGCTAAAATAAAATAACACTTCAATAGAAAGCACATTTAATTAACAAGTATAACTCAATATGATGCCACTAATACATATATTGAGACACATGTCAACCAAGAACGACACGTCATCGTGATGAGCCAACTAAGTTCCATCAAGTCTCAACAACAAACTAGAGATAAACGACACTCTAGTGTATAACACGTTGACTAGAACGTCAACCGTCAATAAGGTAGGTCCATTAAGATCAACAATCTAAGTTATTCAAACCGGAAGATCCGCACATCAGATTTCCGATCCGTAAGTTCTCAAAGGTCCAACAACTGATAACTAAGGTGCTCACAAAATTGTACGACGATCCAACGATCGGATTGTCGTCAATCATACAAACAAGTGGTGGTCCATTTTGATCACCACATCAAACAATTGAATTTCGGGAAACCGAGCTAGACATAGGTTCTTAGGATCACTAGAAGGTATTTCGTACTTAGACAACACTCATGCACAGTCCCACGCACCGCCACACGCAATGGTAGCCATGGTGAAGGGTTTGAAAACCCAATTTTCAACCTTAACCAAAAAGGCTCAAATTTACGTGGTAACTAGAGCTCAACAAGGGAAACATTATTCACAACTAGGCCAACGACAAATTCTAACCGGAAACCATCCAAATTCATCAGGGAAAACCGGGTTTCTAGGGTTCTAAACACCTAACTCTAAAACGAAAACGAAACCACAAACCAAGCATACCAACTTGAAGATTATGAAGAGTAGATGAAGTTTAATACCTCACTCGAAAGAAATGGTTGCCGAAATCACCGGAAACCCAAGGAACTTTGCTGCCTATAACTGGAAAAATGGATAAGAAAATGGGAAATGTAACACTGCAGAGATATAGGGCTCATCAAGAGCTTTCAATGGACACCAAGATCACCCAAAACAGAGATCGGAAGAAGGAGATATGAGCGGATCAAGTTTGCGGGTTAACGGGTCTAATTCGCCCCAAAACGGGTTTTTTCTTCCTTTCTCTCGCCACACTCCAGTGGCTTTCTTTTCCTTCCCTCTTTTAGCCACTCCGGTGGCTTTTTTCTTCTCTTTTCATTTTTTTTAGCAACAACTTTAAACATCCGTAGCTATACCGTTACAATCCGGACTCGCAAACGGTTTTCGCATATGCGTTCATAATCTCGATATCTATTCAACAATATAAATTGTGACCTCGAATGGTCTACGGATTTTAAATAATTAATTTCCCGAAAAATAATATAAAATTTCTATAATACCAATACGTAGATTATAATAATGAAATTTAGGAATGAGATTTCACACTTATAGTTTTGAAACAAATAATTTTACATTAGAAAAGATAACTTATACTTTCACTAAAAAGGAGAGCTGATTTTTATTAATTAACATTGAAGTTTTTGCCTATTCAAGAGATGTGGGTCCTGTATTTCAATCAACACATGTGAGTCTCATCTCTATTAAAAAAATGATACAAATGATGGTTACAAATAAATGATAAGAATAATATTTTTATTTACAAAAAAATTATTATGCACTCCTATCTAATAAAGTAAACAAGGTCAAAAGGAGGACAAAGTGGGTTTCTTTTAGCGCTAATATTCTTTTAGAAACTATATATTTGATTGTATGAACAATAAAGTCATTGTACAATTTAAATTTAAAACTCATAAAGAAAATTATACAAGGCATACAAAGTTTATTAATCAACATTGAACCTTTTGTGCATATTCTTTGAAAACATAAGGAAATTATACAATGGTCTCCTCACAAGAAATTCTCAACTCTTTCATTTTTTGTGAACTTGTGATACACGCTAAAGGGGATGAATTCTTCAATGAAATTTTGACATGTAAAAATGAGACCTATTCGTAAGTTTATTGAAAATAATAAAGCTCATATGAGTAGCCCAGAATATAATTTCCTTGTGTTTTCATAGCATATGAACACAAAATATAATGTTGCAAAATAAGTTTGATGTTTTATGTATATAATTATAAGTATAATATTTTCTCACCTTCTAGTACAAGTTTTGTGCATATTCTACAAAACCAAAAACAAATTAAAACTCAACATCATAGCAATATTTTCTCAAAAATAAAAAAGCATTTCGTAGTAAACGAATATACTTTTCCCTCACACTAAATTTCGTAAATATTTTATGAAAATATAAGGAAATTACACTATGGTCTCCCCTCAAGAAATTCCAAGAAATTCCCAGCTCCATTATTTTTTGTTAACTTATAATTCATGGGATCAATTTACCAAAGGACGTATGATACACGTAAATAAGATCAATTTATAAGTGCATTGAACATGACATATTATGTTAATAGAGAAACATATAATTTTCTTATGTTTCATGGCATGTGCACAAAAAGTTTTATTGTTGAAAATTTTATATGTATATAAGCATATTTTCTCATCTTATAGTATGCTAAAAGGAAACCAAATAGTAGCATCTTCATAATAAATTCTCTAACTTGCTTACACCAGGCCTATAGTGGCGAAGCCACGTGAGGGCGAGGAGTGGCGTCCACCACTCCCCTAGCCTGAAAAACAAGACTGGAGCGCTGATTTTGCCCCTCCCCTGCCGGAAAACCCACTGGTTCTACTATTGTTGGTCTTCGTCTCCGACTCTCCGGTCTGCTTTGCAGATCTAACTTTTTTTTTTTTTAAACAACCAGGCCAAAACAACGTCGTTTTGGACCTGGTAAAAAAATTTTAAAAAGAAAAAGAAAAAAAAATGAAACGGGCAGTTTTGATAAGTTGGAAGTCAAAAAAAAAAATTATATAGGGGGACCGCGTGTCCCCCATTCATTCAATCTCTTCCTTTCTCTCTCTGTTGTGTCGTTTTGCACCTTTCCCCTTTTCATCCTCCAATCACAGCAGCAAAGGGCAGCCATTGCTCCCCTTTTCGAAGCAGAAAATGGAACGGAACTTCTGCACAGCAGCACCGTTTGGCATTAGACCAATTAGCACTCAACAGCAGCACAGCGCCACTGCCAGGGCCCAGCTTCCAACCATCAAACACAATATTTAGGTAAATTTTTTAATTCCCAAATTTATAATCCCTAACCCTAATTAATTATTTAAAATGAATTTTGTTTAATTGGTATAGAATCATATAGTAAAACACTCAATGCACTAATATGGTTATAGTTATTGATTATTGATATGAAATTATGAAATTATTTTTTAGGGTAAAAATTAAAATTTGAATTCTCGATTATTTATTAATTAATTGAATTATTACATAATGTATTACAATTATTCATGTGATTAGTTGAATTGAATTTTTATTTATCGAATAATTGTTTGTTTATTGGTATTGATTAATTGAATTGTTGGTTGGATTAGTTATTATGCATACTATAGTATAGTCTACTCTAGGATTAAGAGTCTAAGAATTTTTTTTTTCTTTCCATTTTACAGTTATGTAATGGAACGATACTATAAGAAACAATGCTTAAATCCTCCTTCAAACATTTCGGGTAGTCCTTCTCCTTCAAACATTTCGGGTAGTCCTTTTCCTTCAAATATTCCGAGTAGTCCTCCTCCTCCTTCAAATATTCCAAGAAGTCCTCCTTCGAATATTCCTAGTAGGTCACAACAAAGTAAGGCCACTGAGTTGGATGAAATATTAGCTAATCTTCCTGCAGACCCTGGACATAGACGTCAAATGCTTGATTATCCACCTAATTATCGTGAAGCAATTCGTAGACACTATCTCCAAAATGATCCTTGTCAACCTAGAGACCACATCATGCCAAGAAAAGTTTGTGACAAAAGATGTTTTATCATCGGTTGGTTTGATAAGTTTAAGTGTTTGGAGTATAGTATATCAAAAAATGCTTCATTTTGCCGTTATTGCTATCTTTTCAAATGTGATTTCGATCAAATGGGTAGCACTAGAAGTGATGTCTTCACTAAGAAAAGGTTTACAAATTAGAAGAAAGGACCTCAAAATCTTCGAGTCCATGAGGGAGGTGTTGGAAGTCTTCATAATAAAGCTGTACAATAAGCTAGAGATTTGATGGCACAAAAACAACACATTGAAACATTTGTGAGTAAGCAAACCGATGAAGCTCGCATTAATTATCGTACTTTCTTGAATGCCTCACTTGAGTGTACAAGATGGTTGTTAGGACAAGGTTTGCCTTTTCGTGATCACGATGAATCATTCAAATCAAGCAATAGAGGTAATTATTTGGAGCTTATGCAATTTCTTTCCAAGCATAATGAGCAAGTTAGGAAAGTTGTGTTGAGAATGCTCCCAAGAATCTTAAGTATACTTCTTCCGATATTCAAAAAGATCTTGTCCGTGCTTGTGCCATTGAAATTATAGATGCAATCACTAAAGATATGGAAGGTGCATTCTTTTCTCTTTTGGTTGATGGATCACATGATTCTTCAACTAAAGAGCAAATGGCAGTAGTATTGCGTTATGTGAACAAAAAAGGAGAAGCAATTGAAAAGTTTTTGGGTGTACAACATGTCACTTCTACAACTAGTAGCTCACTTGAAGAGGCTATTGAGAGATTTTTTGCTACAACAAATTTGAGTATGTCCAAGTTACAGGACAAAGCTATGATGGAGCTAGTAATATGAAAGGTGAGCTAATGGCCTTAAAACAAAGATTTTGAACAAGTATCCTCAAGCATTTTATGTTCATTGTTTTGCACACCAACTTCAACTAGCTCATGTAGCCGTTGCAAAGGGAATTGAGGGCGTCGCCATTTTCTTCAACAATGCTAGTATCTTGGTCAATACTATTGGATCATCGTGTAAGCATCGTGATGCATTTAGAGAGAAACAACTAGAACAAATTACAAAAACTCTTGATATTGTTGATCTTGAAATGGGTAGAGGGTTAAATCAAGAGAGCAGTCTCATGTGTCTTTGTGATATACGTTGGAACTCACATTATGGTACTATAATGAGTATTATTGTCAATTTTGAAGCTGTGGTGGAGGTGCTTGAATGGATTAAAGATGATACCAACCAAGACAATTTCGAAGAAGCAAGTAAGTTATTCCATGACATACAAACTTTTGATTTTGTGTTTCACCTTTTTTTTATGAGACACATATTGGGAATTATAGATGAGTTATCACAAGCATTACAAAAGAAAGATGAAGATATTGTGAATGCGATGGCATTAGTGGAGGTATGCAAGCAAAGATTACAATCCTTGAGAGATGATGATTTTGGGAACTTGCTTGATGATGTACAAAAGTTTTGTGAAGAGCATGATATTGTTGTTCCTAACATGGAGGATTTGCATTTCGTACCCGAAAAATCAAGGCGTAAAGCTCCAAGACTCACAAACTTCCATTACTATCGTGTGGACCTCTATTTTCAAGTCCTTGATACGCAATTAAAGGAATTGAATGATCACTTCGATGAGGTAAACACTGAATTGCTTCTTTGTATGGCATGTTTGAGTCTGGTGAATAATTTTGCATCTTTTGATAAAGCAAAAATTGTTCATCTAGCCCAACATTATCCTCAAGATTTTGATCGTATGGACCTCATAAATCTTCCAATTCAACTTGACAATTACATTCATGATATGAAGATGCATAGTGAGTTTTCATCATTGAGAGGAATTGTGATCTTGCAAAGGAGTTGGTGAAGACCGGAAGGTGTGCAAGCTATATCTTAGTGTATAAGCTTCTTACATTGGCTTTAGTGTTACCGGTTGCAACCGCTTCGGTGGAGAGAGCTTTTTATGCTATGAAGATTGTGAAAACACCATTGCGTAACAAAATGGGAGATCAATTGTTAAGTGATAACATGCTTGTTTACATTGAGAGAGATGTATTTGCTTTTATTGATAATGAGCCTATTATGCGACGTTTTCATGATATGAAACCTCACCGGCAACAATTGTAATTGTATTGATAAATTATGGAAGACATTACTATATAAAAGGATTTGGTTGTTGCTATTCTTTTGAACTTTGCAATCTTTTAACTTCGCCCCTCCCCCCGTCAATTCCTGGTTTCGCCACTGCAGGCCTATGAATTCACTCGCAACAAAATTTGAATTGAGAAAAAAATTCATCTTACACTATTCTCCAATGAAATAAGAAAGGTCAAAAGGAGGGCAAAGTGAATTTCTTTTAGCAATAATAACAGTTTTTTTTTTTTGAACAAACAATATAATCCATACTAAGGAGGTGAGGGAGGTGGGCTAAGCCTCACAATGACTAACAATAATGTGGTTCAAATTCTTCTTTGGTGAGAATCGAACCTAAGAACTCTTACTTACAAGTGAAAAGGAATACTACTAGACCGTAGTACTAAGTTGCCTAATAATAGTTCTTTTAAAAACTATATATTTGATTACATGAACAATAAAGTCATTGTATAATTTATATTTAAAACTCATAAAGAAAATTATTTAGGAAATAAAATTATATTTAAAGACATTCAAGTTTTATTAATCAATATTGAAACAATTGTGCATATTCCATGAAAGCATATTGATGAGATTATAATATAGTCTCCCACATGAAATTCTCAGATCTATTAATTTCCGTGAACTTGTGATACACAATAAATGTGTGAATTCTCCAATGGACTTCTGATAATTGTAAATGAAATCCATTCTTAAGTTTAAACTGGAAATGACGAAGCAACCAAGAAGAACAAAGTAGACCCAGGAGGAGCCAATAACACACCAACACAAAACTAAAATACTCACTAGAGATACTCACAAATAACCTCAAGAAAATAGTAAGGCTAGGAGAACGGAGATGGGCAGCCATTGGCCACAAGCTAAAGAAAGGGGTCAGGAGCTGTGAATTTTATAAATATAAGATTTTAGTAGAGGAAAGGAGAGAGACGCTAGCAGTAGTTTCTTATATATTAGCATTCCAAGAATCCATCCTTTTGACTTTTATTAATGTATTTCTAGTACAATTTTAATAAGAGTATTATCGGAAAGTAAATATGTATTTTACACTAATAAGAAAGATGTAAATTTGGGAGCTCATTTATTTATGGTCTCTTTTAACCAATGAAAATGGATATACATATTTTTTTAGTCCACCTCTTAAAAATGTAAATATACATTTTATTCACATGTTTACACTAATCCTTTGAGAGCTTTCCAACCAAAAAAAATTAAATTGTAGTACACCACATGCTATTATATAATTGGAAAAAAAAATTAATTTTTCAAGTGTTATTCTATTTGTATAATGATATGTGTTATATTACTTTGTGTTTTGTGCACTGAAAAATATCTCGTATCAGATATGCTAGTGGAGTACCAATTTGGGGTTGTTGAAATTAATTTTTTTTTGTCAAAGGGTTGTTGAAATTATTTAAAAGAATAAATTGTAGCAATGGTACCTCAATTTTAATGAAATTAGAGCAATGATTCTTCAACTAAAAACCTATTATCATTCGTCCTTCAACTCATCAAAACGTGTAGCTGTGATCCTTTTCGTCAACTTGGTCAAAATGAATTATGTTGGAAGGACCATTGCTACAATTAGATTAAAGTTTAGGGACCATTCTCCAATTGGATTAAAATTGAGAGACCATTTTTTCAGTTAAATTAGAATTGAAGAACCATTGGTAATAGATTTTTAGTTGAGGGACTATAGCTGCACGTTTTGATGAGTTAAAAGACCAATGCTAATAGATTTTTAGTTAGAGATCATTATTTCAATTGAGTTAAAGTTAATTGACTATTACTATAATTTACTATATTTAAAAAGCAACTTATTAAAAAATCTGGTGAATGGTGAACATTAAAGTTTAATGAAAATTTTATGAGGATAGCAGTACCCTGGGTTTTTAATTAAAATTACAGCCAGTATCTTCGCTTCTCCTTTCCCCTTTCTCCATGTCGTCCTTCAAATCGAAGGTTGGCGACCTTCAATTACCTGGAGAAATCAACAATAAGCCATAATTCCTTCAATTAGAGGATGCTCTGCTCGTCTTCTGCTGACTTTTCTTTAAATTTTGAGCTTACAGTGCTCACATGGGAACATAGAGAGAGAGAGAGAGAGATAAAGAGAGAGAGAGAGAGAGAGAGATTGAAGTTTTTATGGAAGGAAAGAAATTTGAGCTTTGTGTAGGATAGAGCAGGCGAGTGAGATTGCATGCGACGAATCAGTTAGGTTTCTGACTTCAAATGGCGCCGTTTGTGGTCTGATCCGTCCGAGTTATGGAGATCGGACATTGGAGCTCCTAACTAGCAATAATTTGGAGCTGCAGATTCGGTGAGAAATTCAAAATATTTGGAATGGCTATGGGGAAACGGGATGACACAGAGAGATTGGGTGATTAGGATTGTGCCGTGGGCTGGGAGGTCGCGGCGGCGGCGGAAGGAACCCAGACATAAAACCGTATAATTATTAGAAATATTTAGAAATTGATGGGCTGGTATTTGTTCAATAAATCTATGGGCTGGATATATGGGCTGGTGTTTGTTTAATTAATCCATGGGCTGGTGTTCAATATGACTTGGATTTAAGGTGAAATTATTAGAAAATTTCTATTAAACTATTTGATGGCACGTAAGTGCAGAAGCTGAAGATAAACATTGAAGAAGATAAACATCGAAGGAAAAATGGGGAAGATAAGATTATTAAAGAAAAAGGTTAGATAAATTATCATCCAACCTTATGATATTTTCAGTCATCTCTATATGGGCTTGTTTGACGGCCTGAAAGATTTTGGACCTTAGAGAGAAAATTATATTAATAGGGATTTGAAAGGTAAAACTTGTAACCTATGTATAAAGATAAATTAGATAACATATTTTATTGTGAATTCATAATTCATCATTGTAGATGTAAATTTCTTTCTCCTTGTTCTTGGACAAAATTGCACCTACAAAATAAATAACAACTTAGATCAAGACCAAGAGCCTCACGCGCCCACGATGAATTAGGGGGGCTTTGGTCGAAAAACCTCTGATGTCAAAATTAGAATTTTTAGAGAAAATTGTTTGAAGAATTTTGAGTGTTTAGCAAGAGTGAAACTTAGGTTTTTAAAGAAAATAAGGAAGAATATATAAGGCATGGCCGGCCCCCTTGGGAGAGAAGATGACCGGCCTCTTGTGTGTTTTTTTGGTGTAATTGGTAGTTTAATTAGCCATTAATAAATTAATTAGGTAATAAATCCATTAATTAGTTAATTAACATAATTTAAAAGGAATGTTTTAGGGGTTACCTCGTGGAGAAGATATGATAAGGGACGGATGAAATAAGTTATAAATAAATACCTATTTGTGCACTTTTGACTTGATTGTGAGATGATTGTCCACTGCTCGTGTGTAGTAATTCCAGTGTGCCTCAAGGATAATTTTGTCATTTTAACCCAACAATCCACGTGTCGCCTCTTGATTATTTTTAGCTCCACAATCATGTCATGTCCACTTTACTTTTTAACACAACAAACAACGAATTAGATTAAGGTCTATTTTAACTATTACATGCTAACACATATTGTGCGAAAAATTTCTTTTTATTTTGTTTTGTATTATAAAGTGTTGATTATTTTAAAAATTCTCGAAAAAGCTTACATGAGGTGCTCAGATCAGAGTCGATCGTTTTCAAGTCGTAACCCTTTTCGGAGCTGTGGGGAAGATGGTGGCTTGGTAGTTGGGTTGGGTGATATCCGCCTCTTATGAAGCTTTTTCTATTTTTTTTATTTTTTATTGTTAATTTTCTTTTTATTTGTTTGTTATTAAATTTTGTGGGATTCACATGTGTGTCACGTTAACATTCTAACAGAAGTTTTGACGAAAATATAATGGCAAATTGATTTGTAGCATCCAATTCAAAGGCTACACTGATCGATTTCAATTTCAAATGTCACCTTAATTAGTGCGTCAATTTCCGACTATTTGCGTTGAAGACACATTATAGAAAAATCTACTACACACACAACGTGTGGGGGGTGTTGATTTGAACGCCCGGTGAAGTCACGGTAAGACCAAAACATGTAGCCAGAAAATTCGGTGTCTCGCCTTCCCAACTCGTTCGACCTATGTATGTGTGCTGAAACAGAGTCGAAAACAAACAACGCACGACATTCTCAGTTTCTCATCAAACTAAATTATTTTACGTTCTCTCTGTAAACCGTTGGAATTTCTGTTCTTCTTTCGTCACCCAAGAACAGATTACGTAATTGAATCAAGTTTTGAGTCTCATTGTTTCCGTAAATTATGTCTCTGGTTTCGGTCAGAATGGGTGCTCTGAGAACGTCATTTCAAATGCTGTTTGATGCGGTAAAATCAGCGCAGGAGGAGAATACAATGTTCCAACACCTCCTCGGAGACATCAAATCCACACTGGAATCTCTACAACCACTCATCAAAGACATCGAAAAGTATAACTCCAAGGAGGGGCGGGAAAATTATGCAATACAGATGGAGGAAGGAGCAAAGCTTGTTCAAAAGTGCAGCAAAGTTGGCGTGTGGAGAAAACACACATACACCAAGAAGCTTAATCAACTGGACAAATCTCTTCGAAGAGTGTTTGATGTGCTTAAACTGCAGGTTATGAGGGTGCGAGGGAGACGTTGGTTCCTTTGAGGAATATCGAGACGGTGCTCTCTCGAATAGAAGAGAGATTGAAGATAAAAAATAACCAGCCTGAAATGGTTAAATGTTCGTCTGCGGTGCCTGAAGCGCCATCAGTTACAGTCGGGTTGGATTTGCCGTTGAAGGAGTTGAAGGTGAAGCTCCTTAAGGATGAAAAGGTGTCTATGCTTGTGCTGACCGCCGCTGGACGATGCGGGAAAACCACCTTGGCTAAAATGTTTTGTCAAGATCAAGAAGTCAAAGGTATGCTATTTATGATTTCAACCATACACAGTAACCAAAATTTGTTAAAAGAAAAACAACGAAAGGGGACATGAAACTAAAGCGCACGAAAGGAATATAAGAAAGATTAGAAAGACCTATATTCTCTGTACTAAAGTTAAGCTGATGCCTTCCTTTTATTAACACCTTTCCTACATTCTGTTTGAATAGATACATTCAAGAACAACATCTTCTTTGTCAATGTCTCGAAAAAACCCAACTTGGACCTTATTGTACACGAACTATATCAACGGAAGGGGTCCGAGCTGCCTGCTTTCGAAAACGAAGACATGGCAGCTAACTGGTTGCAACAATTTCTGATGGAATCAAGACAAAATCCTCTACTGTTTGTCCTGGATGATGTTTGGTCAGGATCAGAGTCCCTTCTTGAGAAGTTTGATCAATTCAAGTTTTCAAATTACAAGATTTTGGTCACATCAAGATTTGCATTTCCAAGATTCGGTTCTCCTTATCATTTGGCACCATTGAATGATGAAGATGCAATGGCTCTTTTTCACTATTCTGCATCCTTGGAAGATAAGAGCTCTTATACTTACGAAGATCTTTCGAGAAAGGTGATTTCTTAGTCCACAATACACACACACACACACACACACACACACACACACATATATATATATGCTTATTTATGCCTCAGAAGAAGGTAAAGAATAACATTTGAGCATCCACACACGTTAATGAACTGTGAAGAGTGAAGTAAGAAGAATGAAAGACTAGACAGTTTACAATTTTATCATCTATACGAAACCATAGTAATTGAATTCATTTTGGATAATGATATTGCAGATTATCAAGCGCTGTAAGGGATGCCCACTTGCCATTGCATTGGTTGGGAGATCACTTCGCGGCCAGCCTATAGAAATCTGGCACAAAAGAGTAGTGGAATGGTGCAAAAGTTCATCTATTCTTGATTCTGACAAGGATTTACTTGCTTGCCTCCAAAGCAGCTTAGATGCCTTGGATAAAGAGAAGGTTATCATCAAGGAATGTTTCCTCGATCTAGGTTCTTTTCCGGAGGACCAAAGAATTGCTGCTGCCGCTCTCATTGATATGTGGGCGCAGTTATATGGTCTAGATGAAGAAATTCTGACCATTGCCAACCTTCACGAGCTCACCGCTCGAAGTTTAGCTAATCTTGTTGTCACAAGGTATGCAGGCTGCTCATAATTTTTTCTATTTAATTATGTATGCCGAACAAATCATTAAAGAAAGTAGTATTGATCATCCAGACATGAGGGGGAGACAGATGGCTATTACACTGAACACTTTGTCACCCAGCACGACATGCTTAAGAGAGTTGGCGATCCATCCGGCGAGTCAAGACCCAGCACGACATCACTTGATTTAGTTGAGTATTGAAGAAGTTACGGACGTTTAAAGTTTACCCAGTTTCCGGCGAGTTTTCTAGTTTTCCCTTGGACCAGTCAACTTTGAGGCTGTTGTCTGACCATCTCTGGCAACCATTGGGCTTCTAAATAGGTATAATCTTATTCTACACTTTCCTATCTTCATTTTGATATTATGGATCGAATTTGATTAAGAAACAATTGAGTTACGAGGCTTTGAAAATTGCCCAAACTTCCGGCCAAGAGCTCCGGGACACTGAACGGAGTTTTTAACAGATTGACCACTATGATGGATAGTGAACAATCTCAGGGACCACTTCTATTGATTTGAAATCTCAGGTACCCAAATGAGGAGTTATGCAAATCTCAGGGACCATTTTGGCTAAAAAGCCTATTGTAAATAACATGTTTGCACTCCTCATTGTTCAACTCTTCATTGATTCTCTTTGATTTATCCAATCAATGGGTGTTTGTGCAATGTATGCAGAAAATAAGGGCATGGAAAGAAAATAAGAGTTAAAAAATAACTTCCCTTTGATTTATCCAATCAATGAGTGTTGGTGCAATGTATTAACTCTATTGGTTGTTTCTCCACTCTTTCTCTTGCTGAACCTCTTCATTCCCTTTCAGTTAAATAGGCCATTAAATTAATGTTTTATTTTAAGGGTAATGCTAAAGACATTAAATTTGTAGACAAAATTTTGCAAACTAAGTGACATAGAAGTTGATGATTAGATTATGGCTTAAGTGTAGATAAACGTGCTTAATCATATTGGTAACATATCATTTAGTTTACAAATTTTGTCTCTATAACATTACTCGTATTTAAAACTATTTATTCAAGAGCACAACATTTTTTTTACTATTTTATTTTAAACTATTTATGCTACAGCACAACATTTTAAAAGCAGTGCAATACCAAATCATATGTACTAGAAAATTATGTATCTCCTCGCCTCCTAAGAGCAAGTCCACCCCTGTGGACTTTGCGCCAGCACCCAGCGCATTTATCCACTCAAATGAACAGTAACAGACTCCAATGAACAGTAATAGGCCAAGGCATCTCCACCCCTAAAACTAAATAGCCTAGTCAATTTTATTAAAATATTATTAATTTTTATTATAAAATAATAATTTTTATTAAAGTACTCTTTGGACTCCATTCTTCTTTTTCTTCCGTGATTTTCCAACTGTGCTGTCAAGCACAGTTTCACCACTTTTTCTTCCCTTCTTCTTTTTCTTCTCTTCAAACCACCAAAACCCATGTGAGATTAGCCAAGTTCAGCCCTACCCCACGAGCTGCAACCACCAAACGAACCCGACGACCCACAATCCCACCCAACCTTCCTCCCCGATCCCCTCACCCACTGGTGCGCCAACCAAAACTGCAAACCCTTCGCCGTCGATCCTCTCGATCCCCGGAGCTCATCCGATTACGACTGGTTCTCCGACGCCGCCTCCGATTCAGACCATGACGTCAGCTACTTCGTCACCGATCTATTCAATCGCTGCAGCTCCGAGCAACAGCCCAAGACCGAGAGGGAGAGTTTTGGATATGGAAGCTCGAGTTGGGGTGGTGGTGGAAGGAAAGCAGAGAGCTTCGAATTCAGCTCAAGGAGATATGGCGGTATCACCTGGCATCATGTAGGCCGGGCAAGAGCTCAGCACATTCTGAGCCGGCCTAGAGACCAGCTTGGGCTGGGTGCCAGCCTATCTGCTCGGCTGGAATGGATTGGCTGGGTGTCGGGCCAATAATTTGGCTGGGTGCTGGCCTAAAGGTTCCCCGGTGGAACTGCTCTAATAACGCGTCAAATGTCTTTCCCAGCTCGTTCGTTTTCTTTGGGTGAAATTCATTGCTCGTTCGTTAAGTTGTATATATGTGTGCTAAAACCAACAAATAGCTTACATATCATTCTCACTTTCTCATCAAACTAGATTAACGAAGAGGATTAAGGGCCAGTTTAGGATTGCTGTATTAAAAAAAACTAATTATGTTATGCTTTAAGAATAATCAGCTGTAAAATAAAGCTGATGACCGTTTGGTTAATTGAATTTTAAAAGTGTTGTGAATATGAAAAGCAACATAAAAGCGTTTGGTAAAATTTAATGTAAAAGTGATATGATTGTATACAATGATAGATGGACATAGTAGTAGGAGTGGGGGCAACGACAACAGTGGTGGTGGTGGTGGTGGAGGTGGTGGTTGCGGTAGAGGTGGTGGTGGTGGTGGTGGTGGTGCTAATAGTGGGATGTGTTGGTTGAGGTGGAAAGGTAACACTAGTGGCAAGGCGTGGTGGTGCTAATAATGGGATGTGTTGGTTGAGGTGGAAAGGTAACATTGGTGGTAAGGTGGTGGCAGTGGTGGCGATTGCGGTTATGGTGGTGTCGGCAGTGGCGGCAATGATGGTGGCAATGACAGTTGTGGTTGTGATGGCAATGGTGGCAGTTGCAGTAATGGTGGTGGTGATGGTGTTTGCGATAGCAGCATCGATGGTGGTAGTAGTGGTGGTGGCAATGGCGGCGGTGCGATAATGGTAGTGATGGTGGTGACAATGATGGTAGTGATGATAGTGGTGGAGGTTGTGGTCATGGCAGTGGTGGTGACAAAATTGGTGGTTGTAATGGCGATGATGGCGTAAAGTTAGTATTTGTAGTGGTAGGTGGTAGCGTTCACTTTATTCTCTAAGGAATAAAATGTGTGTGGAAGGCTAAACAATGTCATTTAAAAAAAATTAATGAATGTATTACAGCAATTAAAAATAATTATTATAGACCCAACTTTGCTTTTTATTAAAGCAACTTACATGCTGCTTTTAAAAACTGATGTATGAAGCCCATTGTTTGGAGTCTCTTTGTTTTGGTAAATATGTCTCTTGCTTCAGTCGGAATGGGTGCTCTCAGAATGGCATTTGAAATGTTGTTTGATGCTGTAAAATTAGCGCATGAGGAGAATAAAATGTTCCAACACCTCTCCCGAGACATCATGTCCACACTCGACTCTGTACAACCACTCATCAAAGACTTCGAGAAAAGTATAACTCGAGGAGGGAGCAAGCTTTCAACAGTTGTTACTTAATCTCAGTGGCATTCCTGAATCTAGAAGAAATGTACATCGACTATTGCAGTGATTTAATAGAGTTGCCTGCCGAGATTTGTGAACTTAGTAAACTAAAGAAGTTCAGTGTCACTGTCATAAGCTGTCTGCCATACTTGAAGGGATTGGAAAGTCGAAAAATTTAGAAATGTTGAGGCTAAGATCCTGCACAGAACTGTCAAAGCTTCCAACCACGATGAAGAACCTTGGAAAGGTAAAATTTCTTGACATATCTGTATGCTTTAGCATCAAGATGTTGCCCAAAGACTTAGGTGAAATGAGTAGTTTAAAGAAGATCAACATGAGACAATGCTCAAGGTTGCAAGAGCTGCCTCCATCAGTCATGGATCTTAAGCAGTTAAAGGAAGTAGTCTGTGATGAAGAGACAAAATACTTATGGGAATATTTCTCATTGTGTCTCAATAACGTAAGGATAATTGTGGCCAGAGAGAATATCAACCTAAATTGGATCCACAAGACTCAGTTCTGATACCTGTGTTTCCTCAGAGAACGTTGCTATTCAACCTCTCTTGACTTGTGTTTCATTGTCTTCCTATTTTAGGCTATTTCCCATCTCCTTTTCAGTTTACGCCCTTCATTTCGTAAATGTGGGATATTGCAAGTTATAATCATTTGTCGTTAAATTAGAACTATTTTGACAACCTTAAGAAATTTTCTAAACTTGTGAAATGTGAAGAGAAATTTAATATCTAAGCAATAAGTTTAATGTGAAAATTGTTTTATCAGATGGAAAATGTGGTTTGTGCTTTTAATGGGACTTTTTAAACTCTACTCTAACATAGTTTCACAATCAATCCCTATACACAGTTTCTTAACCTTTTGGTTTGAAAATCTGTATGTATAATAATTCAACACCACCATCTGATTCATGCTCTCCAAAATAAATTTTATAAGTAAAAGGAACCAAAAAGAGAAGGTTGAAGATTCTCCATAAGACAAGAACTTTTATGCCACGGGGTCAAGTGTTAATCTTGTCCTCGATAAGTTTTTCTAGTATCTAAACTCACATTTGTTGGTCAAGTTTCCAGAACTGTGTTCATATATAATCTGGATTCATTACCAAATCTAGAGGAATTGATTGTTATTGACTATTGCGATGAATTGGTCTCAAACTATGTTTTCCAACCAACACAGATTGATCAGCCTTTTTTTTTTTTTAAATAAAAAACTGTTTGATTAGCTTAAACTTATTTTTCTTGTTCAAACTTTTAATAGTTAAACTAATAAAGAATGGACCATATTTTCTTTCTTTTAAAAGTTGTTCACATAGAAGTGGTCATTGACAAAGTAGATAATGAATAAACATTGTAATTTGGATGAAATTACACAAATTCAATACTTTAATTAGATTTATATACTTTAAATGAAAATAAATAAATTTAATATTCTTAGAGAAGGGCACAATAGAAATTTCACAACTAAGAATCGATTATAGCATGCCAATACTTAAATAGCCGACTTGGCTTTGTAATGGGAAGGGTACAAAGAAATTTCACAACTAAAAATTAATTAGATCATGACAATTAGGTAGATGAGGGGTTCTTTTCTCCAAATGAACTCTTGAAGTATTTTTATAGAAAACTTATAGTTTTGAAACAAATAATTGTACATTAGAAAAAGATAGCTCATAGTTTCACTGAAAAAGAGAGTTGATTTTTATTAATTAGCATTGAAGATTTTGCCTATTAAAAAGATGTGGGTCTCATCTTTTTAATAGAGGTATGACCCATCAATACATATTAATCTCATCTTTAATAACATTTTTTTTGCAAAAATTATTAGGCACTGCTTCCTAATAAAGTAAACAAGGTCAAAGGAGGACAAAGTGGTTTTCTTTTAGCACTAATACTCTTTTCGAAACTATAGATTTGATTGTATGAACAATAAAGTCATTGTACAATTTAAATTTAAAACTCATAAAGAAAATTATACAAGGCATAAAAAGTTTATTAATCAACATTGAAACTTTTGTGCATATTCTATGAAAACATAAGGAAACTTTACTATGGTCTCCTCACAAGAAATTCTCAACTCTTTCATTTTTCGTGAATTTCTGACACACGCTAAAGGGGATGAATTCTTCAATGAAATTTTGATACGCATAAAAATGAGACCTATTCGTAAGTTTATTGAAAATAATGAAGCGCATATGAGTACTCCAGCCCATAATACAATTTCCTTGTGTTTTCATAGCATATGCACACAAAATATAATGTTGAAAAATAAGTTTTATTTTTTATGTATATAAGTATAATATTTTCTCATCTTCTAGTACAAGTTTTGTGCATATTCTACAAACCCAAAAAATAAATTAAAAATCAACATCTTAGCAATATTTTCTCAAAAAAATTAAATAAAATAAATTTCACGGTAAACAAATATACTTTTCCACACTAAATTTTGCAAATATTCTATGAAAATATAAGGAAATTACACTATGGTCTCATCTAAAAAAATTCCAAGAAATTCCTAGCTCTATCATTTTTCGTTAACCTATAATTCATGCAAACGAGATCAAATTATCAAAGGACGTATGATACACGTAAATGAGGTCAATTTATAAGTGCATTGAACATGGCATATCATGTGAATGGGAATAAAGAAGCATATAAGTTTCTTATGTTTTCATGGCATGTGCACAAAAAGTTTTATTGGTGTTGAAAATTTTATAATGTATATAAGCATATTTTCTCATCTTGTTGTATGCTAAAAGGAGCAGATAGCGGCATCTTCATAATAAATTCTCTAACTAACTTACACCAAGCTTATGAATTCACTCGCAAAAAAAAAATTTGAACTGAAAAAAAAAAAATCTTACACTATTCTCTAATGAAATAAGAAAGGTCAAAATGAGGGCAAAGTGACTTTCTTTTAGCACTAATAATATTTTTTTTTTTTTTGAATAAACGATATTATCTACCCTAAGAGGGTGGGGGAGTAGGCTAAGCCTCACAATAGCTGGCAGTAATGTGGTTCAATGTGGTTCAAATTTGTCTTTTGTGGAAATCGAACCTAAGACCTCTCACTTACAAGTGAAGAGAAACATCACTCAACCGTAGTACTAAGTGGCCTAATATGTCACACCCCGACCCGGAATGTCCAGTAGGACTCCGAATCGAGCTGTGCTGACCGACACCTGGAAGGTGACGAAGTCATAAAATGTGATGATGTGGAAAAAAAATGAATAAATTTAAACCTAAAAGTGCATAAATACAACAGTGCGCCGCGAACGGAAATGAACCCATTTCACACGTGACGTCAAAGCATAAATAAAGTACAATAGAGTGGATTGAAAATCATACCATCAAAGGTAATCTCCAATACCAAGACTTGCCATGAATCCTCGTCGATATGAAAGCTTTGCTACTAGACTTGGAGGGACAAAACAAGAGTAAGTGGCCAGAACATAAAGCTTTAATAAAGACCTTCTAAACGATATAATCCCTCACCGTAACACCTGTTTAGCTTCCAAAAAATCATACTACGGATAAGTATGAAATCAAAAGTATACTAACATTAAATCCAGAAGTATACCACGACACAGCATCTCAATAACAATATAAATAATCAAGTGCTTAATAACCCATACTAGCACGCCAACCATATCTCATCAATCAATACTAACACATAAGTCGGAGTCACCTGTAGTGACCTGTACAACTTATCCACATCTCATTAATCAATGCTAGCTCATAAGTCGAAGTCACCTATAGTGACCTATACGACTTATCCATATCTCATCAATCAATGCTAGCTCATAAGTCGGAGTCACCTATAGTGACCTGTACGAGTTATCCATACCTCATCAATCAATGCTAGCTCATAAGTCGGAGTGACATATAGTGACTTGTACAACTTATCCATATCTCATCAATCAATGCCAGCTCATAAGTCGAAGTCGCTTAAAACATCATATAGTCATGCCATCACTCGATCGTTCCAAATAAAATGTAATCATAATTATGCATCCCACATTTCACAACATATACTCACCTGAACTTATCTATGCATCCTGCACTCACCTTCGTACTTTAAAGCATTCATAATAATTATGTGCAATATATACTTATGGACATGCCTTGATGCAATTCAAAACTTAACCATATCATAGTGCTTCCAAATATATATATATATATATATATATATATATATATATATATATATATATATATATATATATATATATATCAATACTGTGGCGTAAAATGCACAATCTATAACGCCCTACTCCCGAACTATTAATTTTTAGGAATAATTATTGGTGACAAGCTCAACTAAACATTAGTTTAACTAACTATCAATACTTACAATTCTTTACTTCAAATTCTCGATCCTTCACACAATGATTTATGACCAACATCCAATCACTAAATCATAAGGTTAACTCTCACATTTTCCACCAATGTCCCTCACCTTGCACAATTTCCCAAACAAGGCTATTGCCTCAATTATTTAATCTCATTTATGTTATGGCTACATCTAACGTCTCGTTAGACTGCCTACGTACCCTAAACAGAAATCAAG